CCAATGGCCATAAGATGGAGCCAGAACCCTGGATTGTTTAGTCTTAGTCTCAGAAGAGGGTGTGTCTCAGTGAGTCTCTGTTTCCTTCTGTTGGAGAGAGTTGCCGTTCCTCCTAATGTCTGTTACGGATCGTTGAAGTAAGTCTGTTACTGGACTGTTTTTTGATACTGGACTTTGATATTTGGATTATCCCTGAACTAAACACTGACTGATTTACCTGTGAATGACTTGGACTGCTTATCTTGGATTGTGCTTAAACATTTATTGGAAGTAAAAACCTACATTTACTGTACAGTGTATCTGTGTGCTGTGTGTGTGTTATTCAACACTTCTCTCACTAGGTCTCCCTGTATGCGCTCATTCTCCTAACGGGGAAATACCTCAAATCATAGGTTCCTCTTCGTTTCTAGGGATTCACTAAGAAAGGATTTTTCCAAATGGCCATCAGACCATTTAGAGTACTTCCTATATTATTATTATTATTATTATTATTATTATTATTATTATTATTATTATTATTATTATTAACATGCTCTGATGCTAAGGAGTCCTATTCCCCCTCCCCACCTGAAAAAAAGAAATATCTTCCAAATGCAAAACACAAGCAGAGGAGTTTCAGTCTCAGTTTCATAGCACCAAGCAGTTTTCGTACAGAACAGTTGAGCTAAGCCACACTCAGTCTCCTTGCTGTCTCCTTCTTGCTCACCCAGCAAATACTCTTTCAGTTTCCAAACAGCCCTCCACTCTCTCACACACGGACAAGACGCTAGCCAGATGAATACCCATGGATGCTGGTAGGCGCAGAGGCAGAATTCCCCTCCCCTTATTTTCCTCTCCCGAAATTAAGCCCGATCACATAGTTCTGTGAATGCAGCTAACCCGGGTTAAGGACATCGTGTGAACCCCGCACCCTTCTTCTCTTTCAGGGACATTAAGCAGTTCAAAGAGACCCGGAAGGAATTCGAGAGGGGCAGTGAATGCCTTGGCAGCGCCTTGCACCACAACGCTGAGGTGCCCCGTCGGCGCCAACACGACGCAGAGGACGCCATGGTCGCCCTCAAAGCGGCCCGTACCACCTTCCGTAACCGAGCCCTGGACTACGTGCTGCAGGTAGAGTGGGCCGGGTGCAGGGGCTGAGGATCCCGTTTCTGGGTTTGGGTGGGGGAAGGCGGACAGCGAGGGGTCTGGGGACTCTCGGGGTGGCGCCTGGCAACGTGGGACTTGAACTCCAGACTCTCCTCTCCTGTCTTTCAGATCAACGTGATTCAATCCAAGAAGAAATTTGAGATCCTCAAATTCGTGAGTGAACTCCCTCCCCCAACCTTGGTCCCTTGGACTACAAACTCCCATCGTCCCCAGCCTCAAACCTCTTGCCCGGAGAGGGGAGGGCACACACATGTGCGCGTGTGTGTGTTTGTGTGTGTAGCTTAGATTTTCGCACACGTTCACAAAGATGGCTTCCATGAGATGCCGGAGTAGGTCCCTGGGTGGAGGGGATCTGAGCGAGATTCGCACTCGGTGCACAGGCTGACACCTGCGCTGCGGGGGGGCAGGGTGGCGGCTTTGGCGTGGAGTTTTTGCCCCAGTGGGTTGTCGTGGCCATCCGCGGGGTTGGCATCGTGTTCTGACCCGGCTCCCAAAACACGACGAACCCTCTTGACGTGAACTCGAAAGATTCCGTTAATTAGGAGCGCCGGCAGCCTCGGCCAAATGTTTCCCTCTCTCACCGCAGGCTGACCGGTGTGTCCGGCAGGGAGGTGAATAGCTGTCTGCCACACCTACTCACCTCCGCCCCCCTGCCTTTGATCCCCAGAGCTGGGGTGGGGGCTTTGCTGACAGCAGCGATGGCTCTCCCGTCCCGAGGTCCGGCCCATGGATTTCCACTGCTCTCCTCTCCTCTGCCTTCTGCACGTCAGGCCCTGGATCCAGCTGTTCCTCCTCTTCCTCATCAGCCCCCTCCAGACCTGGGGGCTGTTGACTCCATCGGAGGGCTGAAGGACGGCCCAGGCTCTGCCTCTGTCTCCCCGGGGGAATTCTGGGAGTTGAAGTCCCCAGATCTCAATGTGACCACATTTAAGACGTACAGGAAGATCTCCACTTATAGTGACCATTCATGAAAAAAGTGACTTAGGTCCATTTTTCACACTTACAACCGTTGAGGCATCCCCTAGGATCACGTGGTCCAAATCCAGGTGCTTGACTCACATTTATGACGGTCACAGCTTCCGGGGGGGGTGTCATGCGATCCCCTTTTTTTGCGACCTTCCATCAAGCAAAGTCGATAGGGAAACCAGATTCGCTTAACAACCAGGCTGCTCGCTTAACAATTACGGCGATGCACTTAACAACAGCGGCAGGGAAAGGCGTAAAATGAGGTGAAAAATTCCCTTAACCAACGTCTCGCTTAGCAACGGAAATTTGGGGCTGTCTTCGGGTCGTAAGTCATGGACCTACCAGGAGAGATATAATCTGTCTTGAGTTGACCTTCTCAACGCCAGAAAAATCTCCTTCTGTTCCCCCTTCTGATTTTAGCTGAATTTTAGCTTTCAGGGCCCAGGATGGGAAAATTCAAATTCAAAACTTCCTTCCTCCCAAGGCTCTTCTCTCTCTGTTTTGCAAAGAATCATTTTTGGGGATCACCTCAAATTTTATTTTAAGGGACGGCTGGTGTGGGGGGGTCTCCCTTTTGATGCCTGCGATCGTTCCAGGTCTTGTCCTTCATGGAGGCCCAATCTGTGTTCCTGGAGCAGGGATTTCAAAGCTCCAAACAGCTAGAAGAATATCGCAAAGGCCTGGATGCTCAGGTGAGGGACCGGCGGTCCTGGGGGTTAATTTAATTTAATTTAATAATTGACTTGACTTGACTTGACTTGACTTCACTTCACTTCACTTGACTTGACTTCACTTGACTTCACTTCACTTCACTTCACTTCACCACTTCACTTCACTTCACTTTTTAATTTATTATTTAATTTATTATTTACTTCACTTCACTTCACTTCACTTCACTTTTTAATTTATTATTTAATTTATTATTTAATTTACTTTACTTTACTTTAATTTAATTAATTTATTATTTAATTTAATTTAATTTTAATTTATGGTACGTTTTATTTATATTTTATTTGTTTGCTGGTTTATTTTATGGCGCATCTTATTTTGCTTTATGGCAAATTTCATTTATTCGTTAGTTTATTTTATTTCTATTTTATTGCATCTTTTCATTTGTCGACTTTATTTCATGGTACGTTTTATTCCTTCTTTATTTTAATCTTCTTTGGTTTCACGGCATATTATGCTATTGCATTTTTTTTTGTTTTATTAAGATTTTATTTTAGGTTTTTATTTTACTTGGCTGCGTATTTTACTCCATGGCATGTTTTTGTTTTGTTGAGTATTTTATTTCTTTATTTCCAGTATGATAAAACTTAGGGGGGGGCGCACGGGGGGTGGGTTGGTCCAGAATTGCAAAAACAATTTTGTGTGCACGGAGAGATTTTCTGCTCGTTGGCCAGAATTATAGAAAGAGGGGAAATTGATGGAAGAAAGCCAGAGATGAGCCAGGAAAGGGGAAAAAATCCTGAATAAACAAGAGTCAATTTTCCAGGGGTGTGAGACGTTTCCTCGCAATAGGATTGGTTCAAAGCCAGGCCAATGGAGACAAAAAAAAGAAAGAAAGAAAGAATTGGTTGGGTGTGATGGGACTTGTAGTCCCACTATATCTTTACGCGCTTTCTGGCTGCGGTTGTTAAATGAATCTGCCTTCCTCGTTGGCTTCGTTTGTCGGAAGGTCGCAAAAAGGGGATCGCGTGACTCCGGGGACACGACGGCCGTCGTAAATACGAGACACTGGCCAAGCCTCTGAATTTTAATTGAGTGACACCCCCGGGGATGTCTCTACGGTCGTAAGTGTGAAAGGCAGTCATAGCTCATTTTTTTTCAGCGCCATCGTAAACTTTGAACGGTCACTAAATGAACCGTTGTAAGTCGAGGACTTGCCTGCACTGGGGAAGAAAATAGAATTCGCTTTTGTTGGCTGCCGTGCAAATTGATTTTTTTAAAAAAAATGGTTTAAAAGGTTTTTCCCGCTGTTTTTATATACACACACACACACACACGTACATACATACATACATACATACATACATATATATATATAAACTTTAAATTGTCCAGAGTCACCAATTGAACGAATAAATCAATAAATCAATTGAGGCAGTCCTCGACTTACAATGGTTCATTTAGTGACCGTTTGAAGTTACGACGGCACCAGGAAAAAAATGAGCTACCACCGCTTTTCACACTTAATGACTGTTGCATCCTCCTCCTATGTCAACGCACTCAAAATGCGGACGCTCGGCCATTGACTCTGATTTACGACAGCCGCAATGTCCCAAGATCCACGCGGTCCCCTTTGGCGACCTTCTGGGAGGGGAAGCCGGATTCACTTAACGACCGTTTAGCAACTGCAGGGAGTTGCTTAACCAATTTGTGCAAGAAACGAGTCAACTGAACCAATGTCTCACTTAGCAACGTAATTGGAGGGGGGGCAGTCCATGGTGGTCGTAAGTGGAGGACTTCCTGCGACTTCCATCCCGGGTTGTGGATTTCGAACCTCACCCCAGCCGTTTCCTGCAGAGTGACCCTCAATCCAGGTTTGCGACCCTTTTCTTCCCCAAGTCTCTCTTCTTTTTAATCAGCTGCACGAGTTGGTCCTGGAATCGGCCCGAGAGAAGAGAGACATGGAACAGAGACACGCCGTCATAAAACAGAAGGTGAGGTTCCCCGGGGTACGAGAAACCTGGCTTAATTACAGGGGTGAGCTGATAACAGGTAACAGATAATCAGAGTTGGAAGGGACCTCGTAGGCCATCTTGTCCAGGGGTCACCAAACTGCAGAGAAATCTCACACTCCAAAGCAATTAATCCAGGCTGTGTAAAAACACAAGGCTGTCCAGCCCACCTGGCCCGCGGGAACCCTCTCCGCCCACTCACTCCTTACCCGGCTAATTTGCCTGCTAAATTGCTATTTTTCCTTTTTCCGACCATCATCCGTTCTGCTGTGCCGGGAGATTTAGATTAGCTCGGAAGCAGGAAACGGTTGGATTTCTTGCTTTCTAGCTAGTCTTTAGATCTTCCGCTCTGCTTTTAAGCAGAGCCGAACCTCCCTTAGGACTGAAGGTTCTATTATTCCAAGCAGACTCACAGCAAGCAAATTTGAGAGACTGAGCTAGCCGATGGCAGATAGATAGATCACTGAATGGTTTTGCGAGCTACTCAATCTGCCTGCCTGCTTTGGCTGATTTTGGGTAAAAATTGCTCTTTTTTAATAAAAAAAATATATCAATATTTATAAATTGCTCTTTTTTAATAAAAAAAATATATCAATATTTATATACATGGTGTGTTGTGAGTTCATTTTGTGAGTTTGCTTGCAAGCAAATTTTATGTGACAGACTCAGGTAGCTGATGGCAGATAGATAGATCCCTGAATGAATCTGTGATTCTGTGAGCAACTCAATCTGCCTGCTTGCTTTGCTTGATTTTGGGTAAAAATTGCTCTTTTTTAATAAAAAAAAATTTCAATATTTTATATAAAGGTTTATAATCTTTACCTACAACCCATGCCCAGCCAGTCACATCACCACCAAGCCACACCCACAAATTAGGCCACGCCCACAGAACTGGTTAGTGGTCCCCAGGATTTAAAATTATGAGTTTGGTGGTTCCTGAGGTCCAAAAGGTTGGCAACCCCTGGAACTAGTCCAACCCCCCGCCCCACCCAAGCAGAAGACCCTACACCATTTCTGACAAGATGGGAGTCCAATCTCTTCTTGAAAGCCTCCAGGGATGAAGCTCCCACAACTTCCAAGGGCAACTTCTGTTCCGTTGAGTACAGAATACAAGAGTTCTTGTATTGATTCTGTATGAATCTATAAGGGTCCCATGCTTAAGAAGAGGGTTGGGCTAGATGATATCTGAGGTCCCTTCTAACTATGGATTCTGTAAGGATCTGCCTGAGAAGCGGGTTGGGTGGCGTTTCAACAGGTGGGAGGAGCTTGTGAAAGAAGGGGCGGAGCTTAGGCCCAAAGGGAGGAGTTTCCTTCGATAGCGGTAGGAACTATCGAAGTGGGATTTGGGTCCTTTGCGTGCAGGTTTTACGTCTCTCCTCACCTTTGCCCAGGATTTGACCCAAGACGATGATGTCCCTGAAATCCAGGCTGAACCTGGCGCGGTGGTGACGGAAGGATACCTGTACAAACGGGCCAGCAACGCCTTCAAGACCTGGAGCAGGTAAGCTAGGCGGACACACCTGCCTCATCCCATAGAGCAGCGTTTCTCAACCTGGGCATCTTTCAAGAGAGGTGGACTTCAACTCCCAGGATTCTCCAGTCAGTTTAACAGATGACAAATAATCAGAGTTGGGAAGGGGCCTTGGAGGTCATCCAGTCCAACCCCCCTCTTCCCAAGCAGGAGACCCTACACCGTTTCTGACAGAGGGCAGTCCAGTCTCTTCTTGGAAGCCTCCAGGGATGAAGCTGCCACAACTTCTGAAGGCAACTTCTGTTCCATGGGTTGATTGTTCTGTCAGAAAATTCCTCCTTATTTCCAGGTTGAAAAATCTCTCCTTGATCAGTTTCCATCCATTATTCCTTGTCTTGCCTTCAGGGGTTTTGGAGAATAGCTTGACCCCCTTCCTCCTCTCTGGGGCAGCCCTTCAACTATTGGAAGATGCTCTCCTGCCTCCCCTGGTCCTTCTCTTCCCTAGACTGGCCAGGCCCAGTTCCTGCAACCGTTCGTCGTATGTTTTAGTCTCCAGTCTCCTAATCGTCCTGGTTGCTCTTCTCCGCACTTTTTCTAGAGTCTCAGCATCTTTTTTTATAATGTGGTGACCAAAATTGGATGCAGGACTCTAGGTGTGGCCTTACTAAGGCTTTATAGATTGGTATTAGTGCCTCCCTTGATCTCGATTGTATCCCTCTGTTAATGCAATTTAGGATTGCATTAACTTTTTTGGCGGCGGCTGCTGCTGCACACGGCTGGCTCCTATTTAGCTGGTTGTCCACTAAGACTCCAAGATCTCTTATTACAGGTCCTGCTACTGAGCCTGGTTTCACCCAGTCCATATGGGTCCTTTGGGTTTTTCTTGCCTAAGTGTAGGACTTTCCTTTTCTCTACACTGAATTTAATTTTATTAGATACGGTCCAGGGTTCAAGTCTGTCAAGATCCCTCTGGATCTTGAGCTCATCTTCTTGGGTGTTGGCTATTCCTGCCAGCTTAGTATCACCTGCAAATGTGGTCAGTTCCCCTCCTATCTCCCCATCATTGATTTAAGATGCCTGGATCCCAGGTTCCCCCAGATGGCAAATGTTTTCCAGAATTCGACACGGATAGGACAAGAACAAATACATTTTTCGATGGGCTAACTTCCCCAGTGTAAGTAGTCCTCAACTTCCAGCCATTCGTTTAGCGGCCCTCCGAAGTTAGGATGGCACTGAAAAAAGAATTTCCCACACTTTCGGCATCTTAGCAAGAAAAGTTCTGCTCCTAACTGTGGTCGTAAGTCAGTGGCTGCCTCTACCTATTTAACCTTTGAGGTTGAAGGAAGCCCTGCCCTTGCAATTGTTCTCGGCGAGGTAGACTGCTCTGGCCTAGGGAAGCTCTCCTGGGCCGTCCTTCCCTGCTCAGCTGCTGCGTTTCTGTTGCAGGCGCTGGTTCTCCATCCAGAACAACCAGCTGGTCTATCAGAAGAAAGCCAAGGTGAGGAGGGGGGGAGGGGGGGCTGCCTCTGGAGGATGAGGGGGGGGCAGTTTTCCTTGGGAAGAAGGGAGGGAGGAAGGAAGGAAAGAAAGAAGCAGAGGAGAGGGAGGGAAAAAGAAAGGAAGGAAAAAAGGAAAAAGGAAAAAGGAAGGAATGGAAGAGAAAGAGAGAAAGGAAAGAGAAAGAGAGAAAAAGAGAAAGAAAGGGGCAGGGAAGGAGGAAAGAAAGAAAGCAGAGGAGAGGGAGGGAAAGGAAAAGAAGGGAAAAAGGAAAAAGGAAGGAATGGAAGAGAAAGAGAAAGGAAAGAGAAAGAGAAAAAGAGAAAGAAAGAGGTAGGGAAGGAGGAAAGAAAGAAGCAGAGGAGAGGGAGGGAAAGGAAAAGAAAGGAAAAAGGAAAAGGAAAAAGGAAGGAATGGAAGAGAAAGAGAGAAAGGAAAGGAAAGAGAA